GGAGGGGGATATTTAATGCTATTTTATTTACAGTAAAGAAGGTTCGGCAGTGTTAGCGGGGGGTAATATCAGAGCGGCAAGGGGTGGGGGAGAGCGTCTGGCAACGTTGTGAATTTTTTTGGCTGCTGGCACGTCGTCTACTGTTGTCGTCGTCTACTGATGACAGTGTACTTATTTATTCGGTTGAATTTTTTATAATTAAATTTTTAATTACGAAAGGAGTTTTTACTATTCATTACAATTTAAAGCTCACGTTAAAAGCAGCCTTGCCAAGTCGTCTGGTGCGTGCACATTTTTTGCTGTTTTTTAATAGAAATTTGTGGTAGGGCTCTCTTAAACTTTGACAATATTCTTTCATTAAAAAAAAAAAAACAAGTTTATTAAGTCGATTTTTTTATGTGAAATTTTAATGATTTCTCCATAAGCCTACATGTTAAAATATTGTTTTTTAAGGTCAATATATCTTGCAAGCGGTGTGGTTAAACCCGTCAAAAATTTAGCTGTAATTTGATACTATTATCCAAAACAACATATCGAAATTTCAAAAAAATTTCTATCCTGAGGGGCAATTTACATGTTAAAATTGTATCTTAATATATAATATTTATAGATTTAATTTTATCGTGTTAATCATGAAAAAAAGGTGCCACCTTCACTGAAACTCATGTAAAAAGTTATTTCCTCTTGGAACATATGACATTGCGAGTAACAGTTACAGAGAAGGTATTCTTCAGGCCCATTTTCCCGACCAACGATGAGTGGTTGGTTATCCGGAGAACAACCTGAAGACGAAATATTCTTTGGTTAGTGGCATACCTCCCTCCTGTATGGTCTCCGCACACAGAGACATTAAGGATAAGAGTTAAGCTACCCGCAGTTGGCTCTCCATAATCAAGAATAATAATGAAAAAATAAATGAAAATTTCACCACTTGCTCTTTTCAGGGCTATTAAAAGTATTTATGTTCCCTACTTTACCATTAATCTAATCGGTTTTTTTAAGGGCCACTTAAGTTTAAACTACCTTGTCAACAAATACATTTTTACTACTATTTCCGGAAGCGATTCGTCGACTAAAAGACCATAGTAACTAAAGACGGGCACTATTAAACCAAGTCAGCTATTTACTGGCAGACGTCACCTGCGGAGTTGTTCTTCGCAAGGCTGGAAAACCCGGTGACCGACAACCCTATACTACCCTCTCGACTCTAAGCATTCAACCGGGAATCACTGATCCTCTTCAAGGTCTGCGCTGGGCAAACCTATAACAGCTATGAAGGAAAAAAAACTTGAGCTAACGGGACAGCCTCTACTAGACACGTATCACTAACCAATCTGCCCATGTTATATCATTAAAACAACCGAATCTGCAAATAAAAAAGGTGCTTTAGACACCAACGTCTTTGCCGTTATGCCGGGAGACGTTAGGAAAGAGCACTACAACTAGCTCCAAATCTTCGGACTTTGTAATTTTTCTCCCGATCAGTCTGTGTCTTCAACAGCAAGCCAGAGAAGATCACCCTGAGGTATCCAGGCAGTCACAATTGCTGTTAACTTAAGTCAAGAAAGAGTTAACTTAAAAAGCTCACCGGTCTTTTTTAGGGCCATCGGACGTCGAACTACCTTGCCAACAAATATATTAGAACTTAACAAAGTTGACAGAAAACAGAC